TCTCTATTAGTTTGTTAATTCTAGAGATTCAAATGTCGTAAATAGGCCTTACACTGCTTATCCTGGGCACTGTTCTTTTCCATTCACACACGAACAACCGTGGCTTCCGAAAAAATCGCAATGAGCATTTGGGTAGTTGCATACATCGCAATATTGAATCGTCTGGTCTCCAACTTGCTTTGTAATTGGAGGTTCGCAATTACCGCTATTATCAACGCAAAATCTATATCCGAGAAGACAAGTCTTTGGCTGCTTATAACATAAGTTTGGCTGTGGCGTAAACGCAGAGGCCATAGTAGCGAAAGCAAAAAGAGTGTAGATGAAATACATCTTAGTAGTTGTATAATAAAAAGGATTTGAATGTAAGAGTGATGTGAGCTAATTGTGTTGATAATAATGTGCTTCTTTCACCTGCAGTATATATTGTACCATCACTTTTAGTCATTGGACCTACGAAATTAGATTCGATTATGATTTTGCTAGTAGCCCGCGGAGCTAAAACTATGACACGGCTTACATACCTCTTTTTTACTAGTGCTCTACCACTAGTCTCAAAATCATAACTAGTAAATCTTATTTAGATAATCTAGCCAGTCTAAGTTATTAGAGCTGACGTTTTCTCTTCAGTGACATCGAACTACATTCTAATTCTGAGTAATATTCGACATTTTCAACCGTATTAGTCAGAGCTTATCTGTCTTTGGAACCAGATTAATTGTAAAATTCTACCCTACCCTTAAGTAACATTGAACGTTTCCAGCCGTATTAGTCAGAGGTATTCGATGTTATTGATTGGTAAGACTGGGGAAAGCTATCCTAACGCTGAGTAATATTTAACGTTCGAAGTCATAGTAGTTAGAGCAGATTATCTTACTTTGTTGGTGGAATTAGAGAATTCCATCTCGACGCTGAGTAACATTTAAAGTTCTAAGCCGTATTACTCAAAACTAGTCCACCTTACTTGCTTACTAACATAATCCAAGATCAAGATATTGGTACAAGTAATTAACATAAATGTTGAAGCAATTCTCGTGAAATTGAATTCTAAGATCATCTCTACCTACAGTTTCAAGCTATCTAGTTCTACTAGTCCCACCTAAATCATTAACTACATTTTTACCAATGTTCTACTCAACTCCAATCTTCCTCTTCCTAGCCCTAATGGGATCAGCCACCGCACAGACAAGACCACCAGTTATTTCTTCGGATTACACTAAGTTCTGCTCTTTTGGAGGGAAGGCGATGTGTATAGGAGATGACAACGACTGCCTAATTGGTAGTCTCGACGCCAGCTGTATTGCCGAGGGCGTAGGGGCCCATTGGTGCTCTTGTACTAGAAACAATGGTCCAGGAGCATCGCCCCCTAAACCAGGCACCACGGTTATATTTAACCACGTTATTTGTTCACCAGACCGCGACTGTTATGAATGCCGGAAGCCAAAGAAGGGACCATTTGGCGATGAGGGACCAGACCCGTACCCTAATGAGCCAAATCGTGGGAAAATTTTTAAGGATGTTTGCTAGTGTGCCTATGCACAGGGGTTCTATAATACAAACGGAAAGGTTAGATATTCAACCATCTCGACCATAACAGCAAGAAGTTCTTCTACAACAGAGAACTTACAATAAGAACAGCAAGGGCACTTCTTAAATTACTATTTTCTCTATTCCTATATTTTGTGTTTTAGTTTTACATATATACTGCAATAACATATATATTTCGTTATATTCTATGTTCTTTATGATAGTAGAATGATGTCCTTTGTAGAAAGCGCACTCTAGTAGCCTCTATCTTTACACTAGTGCTACTATAATAAGATTCTATAATCTAGTGATATAAGGAATGATAGAAGGGGTATTTGCTCTAGAAATAACTATAGATGGTTGGAGAACTACCCTGGATGCTAAGGGAAAAAACAGTTGTCACGGAGCGTTGATTACTCGGGCCCAACGGCTGCTGTAGCAGAATTTCAATGAAATTGCCCGTGCTCCGCACGGGCCTATCACCTCAACGATAATATCACCTCAATG